AAGAGAGATAAAACCACAATTTTATTGATTGAATAGAAAAAACTATTTTTTTTGTTGAACGTCATCCCAAGGATAGATCCAAAGGGTGGGTAGTATATTTATGATTTTCAATTTCGGGGATCCATCCTTGATCATAAAGATATAATTTATTTATTTTATACAATGAAAAAAACCATCCTTGGTCATCACAATATTATTTTTTATTGTATTATGTAAAAAAAAAAAACCTTGGGCTAGCCAGAACGAACACGTTCACTGGTCTACCCAGAGTTCAAGCGTCGAACCCACCTTTCAACTTTACCATCATCCAACCACCTCGGTGCACTCGCTTAAGTGACAGCTAACGCTACTCAGCTTCGGCATTTATTAGATGTCTCAATCACGCCTTTAATTAAAACTTTATGGTTGTTTTAAAAATGTGCGAGGGGTTCAGATTTGCTACTACCAATTTGAAATTTTACACTATTCTTTTTCTAATGAGATTATGACGATGTGGGATTGAGTTTATGATTCTACTATAAACATCGTTTAAACTCTACACTATCTCTTTTCTAATTAGAAAATTTAGTGGAACGGGGTTCATTTTTAATGAACTTTTTTCAAAAAATTTCAAAAAACTTTGCGTTTTAGACTCTACTCGACTACATGGACCAAATAAGTTTATAAAAAAATGAAAACCAATTCATTAAAAATAAAAGTAAAATAGGTTGGTGATGTTTTAGATCATTCTACACTCGATGCACAAAAATGTTGAATCTTTGACACAAATTTAAAATATAATATTCAAAAGAAAAAGAAAAAGAGTTTTTTTGGTTAGTTGCCAAACCCACCAATGTTATTGATGAAATAGAAAAAAATCATCATTTTTTGTTTGTAATCTTCACCAAGAACTAATCCACAGGGTGCGAAAGTATATATTTAGATTTTCAAAATTTTCAAGATCCGTCCATGATCCTAACAACACTAATTTATTTATTTTATACATGAAAAATAAAAGCCCATCTTTGATAATCACAAATTATTTTTTTAATTTTCTATTACAAAAAAAAAAAGAAAAAAAGAAGTGGTTGTCCAATGACTTAAACTAAAGCTATAGCCAGAGAACCTACAGGTTCACTGTCTAGCCTAAGTTCAACTAGGCCGGGCACAACTCACAGGTTCACTGGTCTAGCTTGAGTTCAACTAAGCTGGCCACAACCTACAGGGTTCAACTAAGCTAGCTAGAACCTACAGGTTCGCTGGTCTAGCCTGAGTTCAAGCGTTGAAGCCATCTATCAACTTTACCATCATCCAACCACTTTGGTGCCCTCGCTTGAGTTGTAAGCTAACGCTACTTAGCTTGGCAATTATTAGATGTCTCAACCACCCCTTATATTCAGTCAGTTTGCGTTGTTTTTAAACGATGTGGGATAAGTTTACGATTATACTGCTACCAATATTTAAACTCTACACTATCTCTCTTCTAATTAGATTATGAACGATGTGGGATAGATTTACGATTCTACTACTCCCAATATTTAAACTATACACTATCTTTTTTCTAATGAGATTATGTTTCCTTCTCTTCCGTAGTAACCACCATCGCCCGCTACCATCACCAAACCGTCTTTTGTCTTCCCCACCTACAAGGACCAACCGCCATCCCCCCTCTCCCTTTCCTTTCTCTGGTAAGAAATCTAATCCTTCACTCAACATGACTAATTCTTATACCATAGTTTGATGATGTGTTTATATACCACATGGTTATGTTACATACTTATGTCACATTGTCTTTTTGTTTAAGTAAAATTGCTTCAAATCCCTTATGTGGTGTGGTTCCATTTTTCAAGCACTAAATTACTTTGCAAAATAATGTGCTGAAGTAGGTATATCAAATGTGAAAAATGATGTCCTGATTGTTCAAGTATTTACAACGTAGCTGCTAGAATCAAATCATAACAGATTGAAATTGCTGATAAGTGACATGGTATTTTATAACCATTATGGCTGCATATTTTGTTCTTATTAATAAATTTCCTTCACGTCATTTCAGTCTTAGAATGCATTGTGATAATGGAGTAGACGTGGCTAATCAATCGGAACTTGCGGGGTTGCCATCCAAATTAATTAGTTTTATTGGGAAGCTGATATCCAAACTTCAAAAAAAAATATTGGAAACCGGATAGCCAAACTTCAAATAAGACTTAAAACTCAACAAAAACTTGATTACCAAGCTGCGAAGTGGCCTTTTACGAATTCCTTTTTTATTTTTATTTGTATTTTTTCAATATGTTTGAATCTTGAATTTGTGGAGGGAACGGAACATTGAAGGAAAAAAAATGAAGTGAAAGGTGCTAAATTTTTTTCTTTTGTATGGTTGGGTTAGAAAAATGAAAAGAAAATGAATAGGTTATTCTTTTTCTTTATTTTTTATTTTTTATTTTAGGTTGTTAATAAGTTTACGATTATACTACTACCAATATTTAAACTTTACACTATCTATTTTCTAATGAGATTATGTTTCCTTCTGTCCCGTAACCACCATCAACCGCCACCATCACCAAATCCTCTCTGGTCAAAGCTTTTAAATGTTTATTTTGCTTGGAATATATTTTGAATTATTTTAAAGGTAGGTAGTAATGCAAGTGTAGAAAAAAAAAATCACATTAGAGTGGTAAATTTAAAAATTTGTAATTATTTTTTCAAAATACTATTGAGTTGTAATTTTTCGTAAAGAAAATTTAGTGGAACTAGGGTAAGTATTTGGATTTTTTTTTTTCATTTGTACTAGCGGTTTTTCAAAAAAAAAAATTAAAAACTTTGCATTTTAGCATCTTCTCGATTGTATAGACCAAATAAGTTATAAAATTAAAATGGAAAAGAATTAACTAAAAAAAAAGTGAAAATAAGTTGGTGATGTTTTTAGATCATTCTACACTAGATACACAAAAAATATAAAATTTTAGAGGCAAAATAAAAAAAATAATAATAACATTCAAAAAAAAAAAAAGATAGAGTTTTTAGTTGGTTTGCCAAAATCCACCAAATTTTATTGATTGAAATTGAAAAAACCATTATTTTTTTGTTGAACGTCATCACCAAGGATAGATCCAAAGGGTGGGATAGTATATTTAGATTTCAAATTTCGGGGATCCATCCTTGATCATAACGATATCAATTTATTTATTTTATACATGAAAAAAATCCATCCTTGGTCATCACAATATTATTTTATACATCATCAAGAAAATTACATCCATGATTCATTGCCAAAATCTTCAAAGATCATATTTCATTTGCATATTGTTTTTATACAGACATTAGCCACACCCAATGCACACCTAGAAACAATCATCCCTGTTTACACCACATCCCAAATACGAAAATGGGGAAAACTACTAACACATAACTACACGAAGATACAATCACCACCTTCATTCAGACCTATGCACGAGGGCAGTTACTCTTGAAATGTTTTTTTGAAAAGCCGGTGCCTGTTATTGGAAACCGCAAACTTGTATAAGGAAACCGGGCAGTTAACACCAGTCAAATTTTCAAGAAAAAAGAGATCTGATTAATTTTGTTGGGTCCAACTCACCTTTAAGTGTTGGATTTGGTAATACTGCTCAATGGAAAATTGGAACCATGTATCTTGAATTGAGTTCATAAGATTTGAATGTATATTTTGCCATTTTCTTTCTTTTTTAACAGCAATCGATCTATAGGATTTGTTGAACCACTACCAAGTGAAGAGAAGGTTCAACAGTATATGAACTGAATGGTTATAATAATCAGCTAAGCCAACTATCTGAAGAATAGGATGAGAGCCAAAGGAAAAATATGTTCCCAATTGGAATGGGCACGATAGTGCTTCAGAAGAGTTGACTCATAGAAACGCAACAAAAACTAAGCATTATTTTTAGCATTTCAAAAGTAGTTTCACAGTTTTAGGTACTTCAGATGGGCATTAGCTAATTATGATTACACATAACTTTACCCATTTAATTATTAGCACTAAAACTAGGTCATAAGCAAAACTTTGCACCTTATTTCTCATGCATATAGGCATATAAAATCATATGGTTTTCTACCTATATTCCTGTCTATGAGGATAAAACAAGAACGATAGAAAATACTATGGTTTTTTTGCCATGCTGACCTCTCAAACTCTAGTTTCTGCGTAATTATCCCATTAAGAAGAAGCTCTGAACTGTAAATTGCTGCTCCTGCAATAATACAAGCAAATCCAACTTAGTTGCAATCAAGAATTATCTCAAAGAAAGGATAAAATGGTGGATGAATCTGTACCTTTATCAAGGAATGGCGTGCATACTGCATAGTCCTGTTCGCAAGAAAGGATTAATAGATCATCTGGGATTGTTTCATTCTTCATTTCAGGTTTCTGAATTATATCAACTATCTGAGAGCATCAGAAACTCACAATTTCAAAACATCATCACTTTTGAACAACTTTAAAAATGAAATGTAACTTATCGACAGAGTCCGAAATTAAAGTAAGATAGGTAAATTTTAATTTTAATACCCAGCTAGTATAGTGGTACACTTATTTTAAAGTTCCCATTGACAACTTTTGAGTGTTTCTCGTGTAAAAATCTATTACTATCACATAGTCCATAAATTTGCAAAATCGATATCTATTACTCGACCATATACCATTACAAACCCGTATTTACAGATTAACAGAAGGCAATAAAAAGAGGTTGAACAAACTTCCATCCATGGAATGAAAGACATTGGAAAAATTACATACCCGACCTTGCACTGCTTCAACCATGCTTGTAACCAACTCTTTACTAGGTTTTGTGTTTGGGGTAATGAAGACTCTTCGATCCTGCAGTGGAGCAGCAAACAGATAATGCATACTGAATCAGCAGACAGATGTTTTAGTTTAAACATACAATCTTGTGATATTACTTTTAGAAGTGGATGTTGTTTTGCACGAGCCAATGAAACTGGCATGCTAAAGCCAATTTCTTTTTCCTTTTTAGCATCCCTCAGGATGTAATTCTTCTCATCAATAAAACAGCTAGCTTGTCCACAACTATCAAGCCATAAATGTGTCACCACTGGTTTACCATGAGCAATGGCTTCCAACATATTCCTTGTCCGCAAAAATCTATCAGCTATGAAATGTGTAGCATCTGAACAACACGATACTATGGAACTGCCTAGTCGTGCCAAAATCTGTGAGGTGAAATGCCATCAGGAAAGATAATCTATAATTGATCATTTTGCTGATTTTAGAGCAGCAATGAGGGAAAAAGAAAGAAAAAAACAAAACAAAACAAAACAAAACCTTTTTCTGCTGCTTAATTGTATCATCATCCAAGTTTTGGCTGAACAAGACACGAACACTAGCCATATCTCTTCGCCTTCTCAAATATTTTGATGCAGACTGAGGTAGTGGACCAGGAATCCCCAAGCTGATAAGCTCTTTCATAAGGGGGAATCTTGAAAGACTTTTGTTGCAAAATTGCTTGCAATTTTCATCACCCTTTTCGGTAAAGTTGACAGGGCTAGGATATTTTAGAAGAGATGCCTTAGCATTCCTGGCCTTGACTCTATCTGGGTCTATGGAAGTCATTTTTGCAACCATGACTACAGAACTACAGTTAACAACATCTGCTGACCTTCGTTCATATGAGCTCTGCCTTAAAAAGCTTTCGTCACATTTCTTTACCAGTAAAGTTCGCTTTTGGCGAGCATGTACTGACGATCGTGGTTTTCTGATTACATCCAAGCTGAAACAATTGGTTTCAGAATTCCCTTGTGTCTTTTTGTGACTTCCAATAGAATACTCATTGCCTTTTTCTCCCTCAACCAATGTGGGTGGGAGACAGGTGGCTGTTACTCCTTTTGAATGACATGGCACATTTCGATTTTTTCTTTTCCCTCTGGGATAACTCCATACATCTAGCTTCAAATGGATGTCACCTGGATCTACAGCAAGCTCTTTTTGTGCTTGTTGATTCACTTTTATGTTTGTAGCTTCCTCGGACACATGCAAACCTACCTTGCAGCGTTTTCCTCCAACTTTTAACACTCGAAACATATCAGCATTTTGATCGTTCTTCCTTCTTTTCTTAAGGACACCAACTTCTATAGCACCACTCATACTTTGCCCAGGACTATTTATTGGATCCTCATTCTCTTTCAACAGATATATTGATGACCGCCGCCTAGTCCGGTGAGTAATGAGTGAAAAGTTCATACATTTCCCTTGTAATGGCCCTTCTCCAAGTGAGTCATGTTTCACAGATATTGATGAAATTTTTTTGTCAACTTCTTTGATGTTATCACTCTCCAAAGCTTTATCTTCCTTTCCTAGTTCAATTAATTTAAATGAGCTTCCACATGAGTGTTTCTTTGCATTGGTGGGGTTCCCAGAATTGAAATGGTTTTCAGCCAATGACTTCCCCCTCTTCACTTTCTTTGCTTCTGGTAACTCTGGATCCAACTCTTTCTGATTTTTTGTGTTCCTTTGAAATGAACTGGAGATTTTTCCACTCAGCTTCTTGGAAGGCCTATTTGTTTGCTTCATTTTTCTTGCAGTGACTCCAGAATTAGAACAAACCCTTGTAGAAAAGGAACCTTTCGAAGAATCTTCAATACTGTTTTCTGTATCTTGATGAGCATAATCAATGTTGGAGTTGGGAGGGGGTGCGTAAAACAAGGCTTCCATAGCTTCAGCAGCCATTTGAGTATCAAAACCAACATCAAATATATCTGGCACATCCCTTCCAATGGGACCAGGATCTAACTGCAGCCCAGATGTTTCTGCATCTAGCTGAACATCCATCTCCTTGACAAATTTCATTTCAGATACTTCAGCAACAGCACCAACCTCCTTAGAATTGAGCGAAATTAAACATGAATTGGAAAATTTTGCACCCATCATTTCCCCTTGCAATTTCTCTTTGCACTGAATGCCTAAGTTCCTCTGTCTTTGGACATTCGGCTTCCTGGTAACAGATCTTGGTTCAGGGACTTCACCATTTAAGAGCAAATCCTTACTATTGTTCAAAAGATTCCCCTCTCCATCTTCAATTTGGTCGTCATCCCATTCAAAGGTTCCTGACATACCAAACGAGGTTCCACAAGTAGCTCTCCTGGCCAAACTTTGAAACCCCTTTGTACATAAAACTGGAGGTGATTTCTGCCTACCTGTCTTTGTCAATGAGTTTTCTTCAGATAAATTCATATTGTTAAATGACAGATAGTGATCCAGAAAACCCAACGCATTAGCTTGTGATAACTCTCCAGCTTCTTGAGATTCATTGTAGTTTAGCTTTGCAGTCTCACACTCAGAAGTAAGCAGCGCACTGTCTTTTTTGCCATCTTGGGACTCACATTTAGTTTCAGATTGCTTATTCCCATCAAACATGTTCCTAATTGAAATCTTACTTCCCGTCACAGTTTTATGCACTGTTTCATCATCACTGTCAAGCACAACTTCATCCTCATAGTCATCTGCCATCTGAGTTGCTATATCTTCAATGCAATCTGGAATATCTAGTACCTCAGTATCACCATCAAGGTTCTCCAATTGAGTTTCCACGGAGGGACTTCTGAGCTCGATGGTATCATCAAAAGGTACGGTGCTTTGACACTCGTCCCCAAGCCAACATTTGAGTTTATGGTCTGATTTTGAGCCAGATAATAATTCTATTAAGAGCAGCTTTACAATATCTAACTACAGAACAATGCACATGATAATTTGAATGACGATGACTAGATATGATCGTAAACAATTCAATATCACGGAAAAATTGAACTTCCAATGGAAATTAAATCAGTCAATGGTGTCAATGCTTCATATACCATTTGAAAAAGAAAAAAAAAATGTCCATTATGCTTATTTTAGCAATTGCACCGAGGAGTTTTTTTACTTTACTTTTCTCATTTCAAATGAAAGATGATCATCATGTCCAATGAATTCCAAATCTGTAAAGCAGTACCCAACACAACACAACCAAATTTGAAAAGAATACCTATTTCAATTTGGGTCATTTTATGTCTCAAAAGAAACTAGGGAAAAGAAGCAAAAGTGCTAACACCTTCCATTGTAGATCACTTTGATTCAATGACTTTTCTAACTTTTCTTCCATTCTTTGCAACAAAACAACCAAAAAAGCTCAGCATTTTCTTTTCGAGCCGTGCTAGAAACACAAAAAGTTGGAACACATAAACAATCACAGGTCCAACCCTTAAGTCTCACATCTGAGATTATTGATTCTGCATTCCAATTTTGTGATGTTCAAATTTTCCTTTTTCTTAATTGACTTTCTTTTCCCTTTTCCAGTTTTTTAAACCGACTTTCGTCATTGCTTCCACTTTCCCACTACCAACATGGCTCTATGAATTCAATCAATTTCCACAGAAGTCCAATCCAATCAAGATATTACATTTCACTATTTGTTCAAATCAAATCATCAAAACATGAGAGAGAGAGAGAGGTGAAAATCGATTGAAGTTACCAGGAAACAGTGATGATGAAGAGACAGAGTGAGAATCAAAGGTCTGGAATTCCGTAGCACGATCGGCCATCACAAGTCTCTGCTACTCAATGTTCGTCTCCTGATCATCGTCGTCAACAAGAGATCCATCATTTTACCTGATTCATGACATTGAAACGACACAGAGAGTAAAACACATCATTTAATACACCAAGATCAGCATTTTGATCGATATCGAAAACAAAATTTATTTACAGATTGAAGATTATGAAGACATTGACAAAATACACCGAGATATGAACTGTGATGAGATTGAAATGGCAGAGATTGAGAAATAGTGCTAGGGTTTTGAATCATTGATTATCCATAGATATAGCCATATATATATACGTATCTCTGTGTGAGTATAGAAGATTGTGTTTTTTGGAGGGAAAGATATGAATGTGAATGTGTTTCGATTTTATTGTTAAATTATTTAAAACGGCGACGTTATGACACAAGCGGGCATTTGGTCTAGTGGTATGATTCTCGCTTAGGGTGCGAGAGGTCCCGAGTTCAATTCTCGGAATGCCCCATTTTTTTCCTGTATTTTTAATCAATTTCTAATCCCTTCAAAAATCAAAAATTAATTCAATGGTTTTGTTTTTTTCGTTTATTTATTTAGTACCCGTCTCGTAAAATCATTTTTTTAGTGATTTCTTAATTTTTTATAAGATGAAAAAAATCAAAAATTAATTCAATGTTTTTTTCTTCTCCCTCGTTTATTTGCTTAAGTCTTATTTGTCATAATCTAAAAAAGTTAAAAAGTCACTATTCTATTTAAGTCACATCAGCTTATTTAAAGTCACATCACTTCTTTACCACATCACTTCAAACTCAACTCATACCCGACCCATATTTCATAAAAAATTAAAAAATATAATTATTTAGATCATCTCAAATCACTCGGTTTAGTAACTTAATTTTTTTAGTTAAATAAAAAAAGTTTTTATGTTTAGAATGATTTTTTTTTAATTAAATAGATAGTAGTAAGAAACAAATTAATTGATTTATCTCCATGTGCGATCTTTTGGAAGTTGATTGCAAAACCAGAATTTAATTTATTGGTTTGTTACCTATTATATTTCTATCTTCTTCCTTCCCCCTTTTTTTTTTTTAGCATTAAAAAATGAATTAGTTCCTTTTTATTTATTTATTTTTTATACAAAAGGTACCAAGTGTTATTAGGACATTGGTTAATATCACAGTTTGTGTGGGTGTTAATTTTCAGCCACACATTTAAATAGGGAACTCAGCTGGAGAGTACCGATAAAATAGATTAAGCCAACCACCTACCAACAAAAAGATGAGAATACCGCGGTGGTTCGCCTACGCAGGGGCATTCCGACGATCAAATCAGTCAACTTATCTCACAAAGATATCAAAACAGTGCTTAAACTCACAAGTAAAAACATCATAAATAAAAGCATATCTTAGACCCACGAGGGTGCCTTACTTTTATAATGATCAGTGTCTAACTTTCCCTAAAAGTCTTACTTCATGGGACGCCTTACTTTTATAATGATCAGTGTCTAACTTTCCCTAAAAGTCTTACTTCATGGGACTCTATCCTTAACAAGAATAACATCTATCACAACTCATACTATTCAGATTAAGATGAATTTCCTCAAGAGTCTCATATTTGTCCAAATAAGTAGTTTGATATTATCTAGGACTCTTGTCCTCTATTCAAATATCTCAGATTCCGGTATTGATGCATCATACCTCGACACCATGGTCTGCCTGCGTGACACCTCGGCTAACAACCTCAGCCATGTGGACTACCCAAAAATATGTCCCCACAACTGCTCTTAGGTTCTATTATTTTGGCAACCTGAGGTGATGGAACTTACATCGTTGCATCTTCCAACATGTCGGCTAAACAACATGCTAGATATACTTTTCTGACCAAAATCATGACTCGCTGACGTAAAGAAACAAGGACTCAAATGTCCACTTGTCAACAAACAAGAATCAAGAACCAAGAACCATTATATTCTATCTCATCCAGGTCCAACATCTCGACAGGGATCGCACTACTAGTAGAGCTCATGACTTGCTAGTTCAAGAACATCAAGATCCCAGTATCAATTCATCAAGAACCAAGAACAAACAAGTTCTATCCTATCCAAATTCAACATCTCAACCAAGATCAATATCTCAACTGAAATCATCATCTCAACTAAGATCAACATCTCAACCGAGATCATCATGACGTGTCAACTCTTTATTGGTTCCCAATACGTCCCATAATTGATACACGCCGCCTCCTTAGATGTCACCTAACATTAGCCACCACATGTCTCCCAAGAACCTTGAATCATTACAATCTGTCACATATTTTCATTCCAACAAAACCTTTTTTTGTAGGCCGAAAGGTACCACATTGAGGTCGCTTAAGTTACATTTATAGTCTTTCAATTTTGATTATTTGGTGGAGATGATGTATTTTGTGCACTTGTACAGATTTGGCAGAAAATATGCAAATTCAATAAAAAACGGCGCGAAAGTAGATTCTCCGTGCGAGAAGCAAAAAATCCGAGCCAGCCACCTCACTGCACATGCAGCCCACCACCGCTCAAGTAGCCCACATGGGCGCTCGAACGGCCCACCTAGGGATGCATGCATAGAATTTTGGGTTTGTTCTGCTAAGAATAAAAGGAAGAAAAATAGGCTAACCTAGGGTTCGGAAATTATTCTAAGAAAAGGGAGGCTAGGGTTTAAAGATGGTGATTTTCCTCAAGCTTCTAAGAGAACTTTCATGGGAGCTTCTTCATCTTCCACCTCTTCCCACTCCTCTATGAGTGGCTAGACTCTTCTTTTCTAAGGTTTTGATGAAACCCTAACTATGTAATTAGGTTTTCTCTTTACTTTTTGATTATGTAAAGAATTGAACAAATTGTATGGTGTTTAAGAAGTTTCAAATTTATATTTTTCATTATCTCTTTAAGTATTCTGATTTCTGTGATTAGTGAATGTTTTCCATACAATAGTTTTCTACTCTTTCATGTTCAAGGTATGAGACAAGCCATACTACAAGAGACGAGTCGTGTTACTACCCTAGTTTAGAGCGAAAGGCTCGTACTACTTGAGATGGTTCGTGCCTATATATTGAACGTGTTAATTTTCTTGATAAATGCTTTGAGCTTGTAGTTGCGAAGTATTATTTAGTTCGAACCGTAACATAATTGAATCTCAAATTGAAGCCTTATTTATATAACTAGCGGTGGACTCATTACCCTAGGTTTTCCCAAAAATCAATAATTCCAATTTTATTTATAATTGCTAGTTTAATCATTTTATTTAATTTAATTATTATTAGTTTATGAATCCCTCAATCTTTTTATTAAAATTAATTTAGGAATTCAACAATTAAATTAGTTTAATTTCTTGTTTGTCCCTCTGGATTGATACATGGACTTACCATTATTCTAAGGAATTTGGTACAGTTTAGTGTTTAATTTTGGTGTGTGAAACGAGCCATCACCTTTTCACTTTCCTATTTTGTTTTTCTCTGTGTCCCCAGACTCTCTCTCTCTCTCTCTCTCTCTTGGCCTCTGCAAACCATCATCGTTGTTCTTAAAACATTCATTACTATGAATACTCCATTTGTGCCCGAGGTTCAAACTCTACCAGTTGAACCAAACTATCAACCAAGCACTTCATCAGCTACTCAACACATCAACCCATCATCTCAATGGTAGTGTAAACACCGACATAGTGACAATCTTGCAGCTAGAACCAGGAACAGGAAACACTGAGGTCTTAAGCTCCCAACCTTAGAACTTGATAATCCTTCAATCACCCTATCTGCGAGTAACCATCGCTGTAACCAATGACGACATGTTTCGTTGAACTCTTATCGTAGAAGACCTTCTTGCTAACATCCGTGATATCATAACTGTGCAATCCACTCTATCTCTTTATAGTCAATCCAACATGCTCATGCCTCCAACAACTCAATATCTTGGAAGAGAAACACATGAAGTAAGAGGACCAAGTTACTGCTGCCAAAGCCGAGGATAAGGATGAGGTCTCCAAGAGCACCTCACCAAAGAAGGCCGACACTACTAAAATTGAGATCATTGTTGCTGCAAAGAGCCTGGATCATACTCTTCTGGAAATCAACGCCAAAATCGCGGCCGAAAAGTCTGCCTAGTTGTTTGTCGAGACCAAAATAATGCCAACAGCCGAAGTTGAACAGTTTGAGATCAATGCACAAGATCCTAGTACTTAGGAATTTTTCTTTCCATTGTACTTTTTTCTTTGTAATTGTATTTTCTTCTCTGTTTTGAATAGTATCTATTTTGTCAGGCCGATGTGTCTGTTTATGTACTTGAACAAGCTATCTCTTTTCAATGCAGGTCTTCTCTTTTCTTCTAAGTGTTGAATATTGTTTCATGTATGCTTTCTATATCTTCTCTGTCTTGTATGTTTCCATACTTATATTCTTTGAAATACTTCTAAGCACAACTTACTTGAATAATCACTTCGGATTAGCATATCCCATATATAAATCATCTTAGATTGACATATCTCGGACAACAACTCGTGTCAATTTACGTTGGCCGAATTGCACTTGTAAAAATTTCTCAATAATTTTTTACAAGTGTTATTTCATCGTTTGTACTTACTGTCTTCTGGTAAGACTTCGCACTTCCAAGTCTAACAACCTGGTTGGTTATCTAGGGTAAAAATGCCTATTTTAATTATCTCGGATAACTTTAACTTGCCAAATTTTTCCCAAATTTTCACAAGTGTTATGCTCATTTCTACTTCTTGTCCTCTAATATGAACCTGAGTACTACTTATACTCACATTAAGGACGCATCGCCTAGTTATTGCCTAAGTCTTACTTAGACATTTCTGGCCAAGGTTATCACATTTAGCTCGCTCAAACGAAGCACTTAAGGCTTAACCTTAGTGCATTGAGAGTACTAATTACCTTATCTTTTCTTGCAAACTGACCAAGCCATGGCCAGTTTCGTCTTGTTTCGTGTCGAAACATCACTGACTTGGTTCAACTCTACCTTCATGGCAAGTCTAAGTTAATCGTCATGTTTCATGTTGAAACATTGCTGGCTTAGTTCAACTCTGCCGTCATAGCAAATCTAAGTTAATCGTCATGTTTCATGCCGAAACATCGCAAACTTAGTTCAACTCTACTACCATGGCAAGTCTAAGTTATTTTTCATGTTTCATACCGAAACATCGCAAACTTAGTTCAACTCTACCATCGTGGCAAGTCTAAATTAATTGTCGTATTTCATGCTGAAACATCGCTAACTTAGTT